ACAAGTCACTTGACCTCTTTTGGCCTCACCTATAAAATAAGAGAGTTGGACCAGATGATTTCTAGGCGCCTTCAGTTCAAAATCATATAATCCTTGGCTCTGAACAAGAGCAGAATAGTTTCCCTCTAAAAGCACAGGCAATCTCCACTTAATCCATACTGCAGAGCTCTAATGTCATCAGAATGTAGCACTACATACAAACACACTGTCTCCCCAAAGAACTGATTTCAAACTTATATTCATTGCTGCTCCTTTTGGAACTAATTTCCCCTTTCTGAAGTAATATGATTAATGCAGAATGCATGGGCTGCCAGGGATCAGATGCCCAGCATCACTGGAGTTGAAAAAAAAAGTTATTTGGAAGAGGTGGTTATTAGAGATGGTGCCACAGAAAATCAACAATGGTAATATTAGTATTTTTGCTGAGGAAAGGTGACTGAAAATTATGTTAAAAAAGAAATATGGCTTCCCATAGTTAGGGAAATTAACAAGACATAGTAAACACAATGTAATATCAAGCAATGAATGTTACCAGTTTTATTTTTAAGAAAGCATTTTATTAGATCTGAAACCACACAAATATGTCAATGAGCTTTAACCAACCACAATATAAATATAGCCACAAAAAAGTAATACTTGAATCTTTGGTCCATGAGCCAATATTTATTTGATTTGTGTTTTTAAACTACTCCTCAATGTCTCTAAAAGTTGATTTGGCAATTAGTCCCCAATGTTCTAGAGAAGGAAAGCCATACTGCTTGGAACAAATAGACTTAATAAATAAAAATCAGTTAGAAAAAAAAAAGCCAGAACAAAAAGCTATCAAACTAGTCAGGGTAAAAAAATCAAAACCCCAATCTCCCAAACTGTCACAAGGTTAAGGCTAAGAGAAATAGATACACAAACAGCCCTTCATATTTCAATGAGAATATATATTTTAGCCATACAGACTTGCAAAAATAAATCGGGCATTCCAGCCGAGTGCTATTCTGATAAGTCTTCATAAATAAATTTTATTCCTACATTGCAAACGTTCACTTTTCAAACTAAAAATAACTTCCAAAATTCAGTGATTGTGGTCAATTAGGAATCTTAAATAGAAGTCTTTGTGTTATTTCTAGTCAATGTTTTCAAGAAACATTTAATTTTACTGTTAAAAACCCTAAAGGTGATTCTACCTTTTATAATGCCAGGTGAACTGCAAATTAGAAATGCTAATAAGACCCATAGTTCTAATTCTATCTACAAGGCAACTCTTTATAAGAAAAAGAAAGCTTTCATTCCCCAACTTATAAAAACTCATGACTTCCCAGCCAAATGCTAAAACTGAAAAGGAGTCTGTCTCACCTAGAGTTAGAAAGATTTCTTGAAATTGTTTGAGGGCATACAGTTAGAGAGGAATAGTATAAAATTTTACAACTTGTGACAACACATACAAGTTTCAAAACTGAGCAGTTTTTTTTTCAAACTTTTTAAACACATCATTTGTAGGAATACCTTCTTTGGAGAAGCTTAATGATATTACTACTTTTTTTCTTGTTTTAAGTAATTTTATTATTTCTCAAGCTAAGACTGGGTGGCAGTTTGTTCTGTGAGACTTTTAAAAAATTTTCCATCTCATTCTTCCTTCTTCATTTCGTGGCAGAGCTTCAAAGCTCTGTGTCATGGATCTTTCTTGAATCAAAGAGACATGAGCCACAGGGGAAAAGTTGTACCTGCAAAGAGCTCTAATACCACAGAGAATTAAATTGTGTTTGTAGTAATCACCAGTTACAGTGTTCCAGTTACAACTCACTCTGTGACTATGTGTCCAACATATCTTTAAAATTAATTCTCCAACATGCTGACAGATGAATCTTTCATAATATACCATCTCCTCCTTCTGAAATCAAATGTAGTAAAGGTACTCTACAAGTGTATCTCAAAACTTAAGCTCGTGACCTCTAAACACAAAACAATACTTTACTAAAATGAAGCATGGAGTAATGGAGGCATTACTACTTGCTGCTTACAATCCTCTGTGCTTCCTTTTTTTCATCTATAAAAGGAGACAACAATATATACAACACCTACATCACAGAACTATGGTGATGAAAGAGATTTGCAAATCTTTTTTTTTTCTTAGTGAGGCAATAGGGGTTAAGTGACTTGTCCAAGGTCACACAGCTAGTATGTGTCAAGTGTTTTGGTCTGAGGCCGCATTTGAACTCAGGTCCTCCTGACTTCAGGGCCAGTGCTCTATCCACTGTGCCACCTAGCTGTCCCAAGATTTGCAAATCTTAATGTGCTTTGTAAAGAAATTATAGTATGCCATGTGCACTAAACACTCCTATACCTGAAATAAAGGCACTAAATTTAAAGTAGGATTGACATCAGACACAAAAGTTCAGACAACAAGAGTAGGGACATCTTGGCAGATACCAAATGATACTGAGTACAAAGTTTAATATTTACCAAGTGTCCATTATTATTCAGTGAACAAAGAGTTTTAGTAAGTTCATTATGCAGCCAAAGTAATTCAGATGTGCCAAAGGATATAGCAAATAAATTCACTAAACTTAAGACTACCTTGAACGTGAAACTCTGAATCTAAGGCTAAAACATTAAAGCTCCAACTTATAACAGAGAAAAGGCAGAATGCTCAGATTTTTTGTCAGGTCCAAAGTGCCATTTTCTCGGTAAGACCTCCATATAAAGACAATCCAATCCTTAGGGGCAGTTTTAGTCCATGGCCTCTTTTCCTTCCTCTGTTTCTCAATACCACCGCTGCTGCTGCTGCTACTCTACCCTCCAAAATGGAACCCAAAAGCTATGCCTTGAGAGAGCTAAGCCTCTCTTCTCTGTACTCCCTAGTATCACAGGTCCTCACTTTCATCACCAGCAGCCTTCATATCTTCCCCCATCCTTCCTCCCAAGAAATGGAGAGGGAAGATCAATGGACTGCCCTATTTTTCCATTTACCATCTATATGACTTTCCAGAACTAGTGTGGCTTCCCGAATTAGAACGTAAACTCCTTGGGGAGAGAGACTGCCTTGGCTTTTCTACACACACAGTAAGTGCCTAATAAATGCTTTTCATTAATATATTAATTCATTCAACTTCTAGTGCTGGATTTTCTCAATTTACTTAGGAAACAGAGCACAAAATTTAGGCTCAACATTCCTGCTAAACCAAAGGAAATAAGTCCGACTATAGTTTTCTCATTCTCCATTTTCAGATAACATGTGCAAAGCACTTTATAAACTTTAAGATGCTATATAAATGTTAGCAACTATTGCTAGCATTGTTATTTTTCTTTAGATTGTAAGCTCATTGTGGGCATAGACCTCTTTCTTTTTATTAATTGTATCCCTAGTGCTTAGTACTTGGCAGATAGTAGACACTTAAATATTTACTGGATTGGATTTTCTAGCTGTCTTAAAAAGACACAATGGTTACAAGAATACAAAATAACCAGACTCTCCCCTCGGTGCCCCTGAAAAAAAATAGAGGGACAACTTCTAATTCAAAATGTCACAAAATTTTAGGGCTGAAAGGGATCTTGGTGGTCACCTAAGAACACTAAGCCAGGAGCCAGAACAGCTATGCTCCAACTCCAGCTCTGACACTAATGAACTGTATCACTAGGTATGTCACTTTACCTCTTGAGTCTCAGTTTCCTCATCTGCAGAATGAATGGATTAGATTCAGCATTCTCCCTTTTGGCTCTAAAATTCTATTCTACTAGTTTGGCCCCTTTATTTTAGATGAGCATATCAAAAGCTGGCTCCCCTACACCATTCATAAAGGTGTCTAGCACAGGCTTTGACAATAACAAGATTAGGTTTCTGTACACAGCACATTCCAGGATGTTAAGAGCCTCTCCTTCAAATATAAATGCATCCTTCCAGGTGTAAGAACTCCCTCTAGTGCCACCATCATTACAATCTCTCCAGGGTTTGAAATGGGAAGAATTTTTACAAAGGCCTCAGATCACAAGCATTTTTCAAAAGGATTAGAAAACTGATAGAGAATCTTTCCCTTTATCATCTAAAGTCCTGGAAAAGTGTAATTGTTTATCAGCAGGGACAGACTCCCTAAACAAATCTAGGGACGGGAACATACCATTACAATCAATCACTGCTGACCCAGTGCTCTGTGGAAGGGGCTCACCTACCCTCCCACTTCAATAAACATTAGGTTCCTACTATGCACAAGGCAATGTGCTAGTTACTGGCAATATACAGACTCTTATCACCTCAAGACACACTAGTACAACAGCTTTCTGGTGGGTTTTGCTGTCTTAAGTTCCTCCCTCCCTACTACAACCCATCCTCTAGGCAGCTGGCAAAATGATTTTCTAAAAGTGCATGTTTGACCATCTCTCCCCTCAATAAAATTACTTTGCACTTAAAGGCCTTCACAGTCTGGTCCCTTCCTACTTTGCCAGTCTTTTTTTTTTTTTTTTAACTTTGCTCCTCTCCATGCATTCTATAATCCAGCTAGATTGGCCTATTTGCTATTCCTCAAATACAACAGGCCACTTCCCAATCTTCGCCTCCTCCCTGGAGGAGAAAGCTGTCCTCCATGTTTGGAATGCTCTCCCTCTTCATTTCTGTCTCTTGGCTTCCTTCAAGATTCAACTCAAACACCCTTCTTCAGGAAGTCTTTCTGGGTGCCCTCAGTTACTAGTACCTTCCTTCTAGGATTACCTTGCAGTTACTGTGTATATATCTTCTATCTCGATAGTTACTACTTGATGCTAAAGACCCTGTTTTAACTTTTTTCTGTACTCCCAAGATACACTGTGCTCTTGGCACAGTGCCAACTCACAATAGGCACTTAATATATGTTTATTGACTGACTATAAAGAAAAAAGCAAGATAGTCCCTGCTCTCAAACAGTCAACATTCCAATAGGGAATACAATATATACTCAATATAATTTAAAGAAGGAATAATAACAACTTGGGGAGATCAGAGAAAGCTTCTACATAGGCTATGTAACCTCATATGGACCATGAAGGAAAACGATGCTTCTGAGGGGCACAGTACAGGTACAATTACAATCCAGGAACTGGGCACAGTTTGTGGGAAAAAAAACAATAGTAGAAGATAAAATGCTGAGTTTGGGAAGCAAGTAGTAATAGCTCAATTTGGCTCTAATGTAGAGTAGATGAAATGTGGCTGGAAAAGTAGACAAGCCAGATAGTAGAGGGTATTAAACTCAAGGTTTAAGAGTCTGCATTTTATCCAAAAGGCATCAGGAACATTTTTGAGCAGAAGAATGATCTGATCTTTAGGATGATTATATTAATAGCTGTGTAGAGGAGAGATACTAGCCGTAGGGTTATTCAAGGTTCTCCCCTGCTTATCTATTTACATATTGTATGCCTTAGTATAATAGAAGTTTCTAGAGAGCAAGAATTGTTTTTCATTTTATGTCTTTGTATCTTCAATGCCTAGAAGACTGCTTTGTATATAGTATGTGTATGTGTAGGTGGCAGGAAAGATCCACACCTATAATTTCACTTGCAATTATTATTTCATTTGCACAGCAAACTCACACAATAAAAAAGATCCTTCCACCAATGTAAATCAGCTACTCTTCCGGACACCGAGGTTTATTAAGGGAACTTGCCTATGACGACCCAGCCAGCAAACTGTCAGAGGCAGGGCTTGAGCCTTCCTAACACTAAGGCTGCTTGCTGCTCTACATACCAAACTGCTTCTCACCGAGCACATAGTACTCAAAATTTGTTGAGAGAGACCAGTTAAGATAGAGAGCTGGCACTTCAGTCAGGAAAACCTGAGTTCAAAACTGACCTCAAACACTCGAGCAATCTGGCCTCAGCTGTATGACCCTAGGTAAATCACTAATACTGATGGGCAAAATGGGCACAATAATAGCGCTTGCCTCCCAGGATCCCGGCAAGAGATAAGCAGTACCTAAAATAAGGTGGCTGTAGGGTTCACACACTGACACAAATCCTTTAGCTATTTCAAGCCCTCTTTCATTCAAAGTCTAAACACATGCACCCATTCCCAGCACACACTCATCTTTTACTGTTATGCACTCCCACCTGCAAAGTGAAATCCCCCTCAGAGAAAACTCTCTTGTCCCCTAAAAGAACCCATTTTTCCATACGCCCCACTTTTCCCTCTTGCTCATTCCACAGACATTTCTGTCCAAAAGTTACCCCACCCCGCAAAACCTACGGCAATCCTCCGGTAAGTCGCGTCCCCTTCCGAGGGATGGCCGGACACCTACTCGCACCTGGCGCGCCTCGCCCATCCCCCCCTCGAGAACTCTCAACACCTCCGGTCCATTCTCAGACGTCTCGCCCCCCCCACCTCGCGCGCCCGCCTCCACTCGCCCATTCCCCCGAGGGTGCTCCCCGACGCCAGACCCCTCCTCCACGCCCCTCAAAGGCCCTCCTTCTCTCGAGCCCAAGGTATTTTTCCCCTTCCCACTCGCGCGATCTTCCTTCCTTCCTCACAGCCCGGAGCCAGGGGGCCTCCCCACCAACGCGGCCGGGCAGACTGTCACCCTCGTCCCACGTCCCTACCCCCTATACACCCCCGACCCCTCGGCCCCAGCCGACAGGCTCCCCCGCCCCCGCGCAGAGCCCCAGCTCGCCCGGCCCCCGGACTTGTTTACTCACTCATCTTCCATCCCTAGGCTCGGCAACCCAGCAGCCAGAACGCATGCGTACTGCTAGCCGCCTCGCCCCGCCCCCCGCACAGCCCTTCTTCCTGCGCGTGCTCGGAACCTTAGGCGCAATTTGCGCCTGCGTATGCGGGGCAGGCTTCGCAGGCGTCTTTTTGGGAGCAGCGCGTGCTTACTTTGAGCTCTGTGAACCTCGGTTGTGTGGCCCGGGGCCCCATTCCTGCCTTGGGAGGCTGGACCACGTGAAGCAGGATGGGCAGGTCCTGCAGAGTAGGAAGGTTTACAACTTAGCGAAGACCCCAGTCGCTAATGGCCCACTTTAACCCAATACACGTGATATGATATTAGAATGTGAACTTTTGAGAGCAGGGACTAGCTTATTACTTTTCTATTTATATCCCCAGTGCTTTGCACTGTACGAGCTTAATAAATGTTCAGGGCAGATATGACTGCAGGGGACCACGTGTGTAGAGGGGCCCACTTGTGGGAAGGTCATCAGCTGACCTTGTGTGTGGTTGGAAAGATAGACTAGCCGTCTCTAGCCTTTATTTCCCACCCCCACCCCCTTCTCCAAGGGAGATTTTCATTCCTGACTGGGGGGGTGGGGGGGGAAGCAGAAGGTTGGGACCTGACACTACCACTCTGCTCTCCTCAGAGAGAGGGAGAAACAAATCTATCTGCTCCCTGAGTATTGTTTGGCTAGAGGATTTGATTGCTTTTGTCATTGTGAGGATAGAAGCCCCCAAGTTCTATATCTAAGACTTGATCCCTTGCCCAGTTCCATACAATGAACACATGTAGCAAATAGCAAAGAAATCCATTTATCCCAATCACTATCAAAACAGAAGTTAGAGAAGGTATACATAGGAAAATGTATACCAGACAATACAGAGTGAAGGAACTCTTCCACTCGGAGCAAAATAACTCAGCTTAACCAAGAAAGAGCACCCTAGATCTTACCCAAGGGAAAACTTCCTTGAAGTCTCTGGAGTAGCAAGCTGAGAACAGGGACATAATGAAGAAAATGCACTCCTTTCGTGTCTTCCCAGAATCTGTTCCTTCAGCAACCAGATGTGTGGCTGGTTTCTTTCATATTCTCTCCAGAAGCTGGAAGCCAGCTCAGTCTGACTTTCGACTGAGGAAGGGGAACTACTGCTTGAAGAGCCCCCAAAGTGGGAGTCTTGCTTGGAAAGTTCTAAAAAGGACTCAAAGGGGACTTTCTCTTGGATAGTCCCAAAAAGGCACTGTCTGGAAACTGAAGCTCTTGCCTCTATTCAGCTTTGCCCCACCCCTCATGAAGGGCAGGGTCTTCATCTCTACAAATAGGAGATAGTCCTATACCAACCAGCTTTGGGACAGGGGTCAAATTTCATTCATTCATTCATCCATCCATTCATTCAAGTCCTCCCTTAACACACCCACTACCCACTTCATCTCCAGGGTGTAAGCTCTTTATAATGGAGCTATTATCAAAAACTTGAAGACCTGGATTCCGGTCTTTCCCTTGACACACTGACTGTGTGACCCTGAACAAATCATTAAACCTTTCAGAGCTCTGGGCAATTCTCTAAGACTATAAATTTCAGAAAATGTGCTGATCTGCATTGATAGAGGGTGTTTCCTCACCCCAGAGTTCCTATGCCAATAAAATCACAAGTTCAGTCCATAGCCTTATTCCCACTAAAGCAGTTATCTATGCATCATTAATCTATTACTGCTTCTAGTACCACAACAGCTACAAATATTTAAGTGCCCACAGCACTCATGCCCTCAAGAGCTTACATTCTAAGAAATATGCTGAATAGGTCTGCCAAATTAATCTTCCTAAAGAATGATTTCACATTCGTTTTGCTCAGAAAAGATGGAAACAAAAAAAAAAATCAGCTCCCATGGATCTAATAATCATTTCTATGTTAATGATTCTCAAATCTATCCCAACCTGTTTGCTGACCTCCAATCTCAAATCTCCAACTGCTTTTCAGACATCTCCAACTACGTGCCCAGCAGACATCTTAAGCTCAACATATCTAAAACTGAACTCGTTATCTTTTCCCCTTAAACCCTTCCCCCTTCTAGCTTCTTTTTTACTGTAAAGGGCAACACCAAGCTCCCAGTCCTTCAGGCTCATAATCCAGGAGTCATCCTCGACTCCTCACTGTCTCTTGCCACCCGCACACCCCATATCCAAACTGTTGCCAAGGCCTTTTGATTTTACCTTTGCAACATGTCTCCAATATACCCCCCTTGTCTCCTCTGACACTGTCATCAACTGTAACAGACCCTCACCACCTCTTTCCTGGGCTATTGCAATAGCCTGCTGGTAGGTCTTACTGACTTAAGTCTCTCTCCATTCCAGTCCATCCTCCATTTAGCCAAGAAAGCTCAGTTCTGACCATGTTACCACCTCTGCCCAATAGACTGTAGTGGTTCCCTATTGCCTCCAAGGTCACCTACAAAATCTTCTGTTTGGTATAACCTAGCCCTGTCCTACCTTTCTAGTATTCTTATACTTTATAACAAAGCATGTTCTCTTCAGTCCAATGACACTGGCCTCCTGGCTATTCCATGAGCAAGATATTCAATCTCTCTACTATGGGCATTTTCTCTGGCTGTCCCCCATGCCTGGATTGTTATTCCTCCTTTTCTCTACCTACCGCTTTACCTGGCTTCCTTTAAGTCCCAACTAAAATCTCATCTACAGGAAACCTTTCCCTACCATTTTTAATTTTAGTGCCTTCCCTCTGTTAACTATTTCTGATTTATCCTATATATAGTTTGTACATGTTTGATTATTCTCTTCCTCCCCCTTCCCCCATTAGACTGTGAACTCTGAGAGGGGGACTGTTTTTTGCCTCTTTTTGTATCCACAGTGTTTAGTACAGTGCCTAGCACAAAGGAGATGCTTAATAAATGTTTATAAATTGATAAGGTGGAGCTCTAACCAATATTCAAAAACTTCAAAGGCTCCCTGTGGAGTGAAGTCTAAACTTCTTAGAAAATCATGTTGAAGTTCTTCACAGTTTAACCCAATTTATTGACCTCACTTCCCCTTATCTACTGCTGTATACTATGCTGCCTTTCCTATTCATTGTATTCTCACTCTAGACCTCATACCACATGCCTTTTCTTCCTTCACTTATCAAAATCTTCATCCTTTCTTTAAGGCTCAGCTCAAATGGTACCAATGAAACTTTTCCTTGTTGTCCCATCCAAAAGCATTTTCTCCCTCCTCTGAATTTGTGGCTCATCACATTCTACTTTTCATTATTACAGTTATTTGTTGTACTTCACTTATTAGATCAAAGCTCCTTGAGAACAGACACCTCTCATTCGTCTTTCTATTCTTCAGAATGCCTAGCATAGTAGTAGGTATGTTTATTAATTGAATGAATTTACTGTCTTAGAGGGTAGTTATGAGTATATATTAAAACTTCTCAATTCCTGGAGATCAGTGATTATGTCTTATACTTTGTTGACTCTCCCATAGTGCCTAGCACAGTGTGAAATACTTGCTAAATGAATCATGATTGGTGATTCATCTAAGTGGAAGCAATGGTTTGCAAAAAAAATTTCCAGGAGGAGAAAAAGGACAGATAAAACTTCTAATCTTGGCTGTTGATTCTTGTGGATTTAGATTGGGTCAAAGGGATGGAGAAAACCAGAGGATGATCTCCGGCTCTTAAAGAAATACCCCGTGTACTTTCATCACCAAATTCTTTTGAGATCAAAAGGGTGGGGACTCAGGTCAGACTTCTATGTGTGCTACCCAAAATTTCCAGGCCTACTTCAATTTGTTTGTATTTTTCCAGCTCGTTACCTCTCCACCCCCTCCTCCAAGTGTTCCTTATCTCTATTTTTTTGGTACATTTTATTTTGACATAACAATTATTTCCAAGTAAATACCTCTCCCCTCCAGAGTTTTCTCTTAAAAGATAGTTAATCAAAACTGTCTAATCATGGCAGTTGGAAATGATACCACAAGTAATTTTCCACTCTGAGAGGATACCATTAGTTTTTAACTGTCTCTGGAACAAACATTGACCTTTATGTTGGACCTGAATTCTATTGCTTTTCATGTAACCTTCATTTACATTATTGTAGGCACTATGTGTGTGTGTGTGTATATATATATATATATATATGTATATAATATATATACATACATATATGTATATTACTGGTATCTTCCTTCATAACAGTCATCCCATATTTCTCTGAATTTCTCAGGTTCCTCATCCCTTGCAGTTGCAGTAATATGCTATTACATTCATGAAATTTGTTCAGTCATTCATTCTTTCCCCAGTCGACAAATCCCATTCCTTTTGACCCTATTTGCTAACTCTTCTCTTTAGTTTGACAATAAAAATATTGTTATAGAACATTTTAAGAGAAATTGAGTTTCATGATTTGAAAGTACACATATTATCATTACTGACAGTCATAACAGAGAGAAGACAACCTTATCTGAATTATCACTAAATTAGGTTGTCATCATCATCATCATCATCATCAATAAAAGCATGCATTAACCAAACTTAAAGATGATACAATAACTTATAACCTTTTATTATGCTCTCTTGGGAGGCTAATAAATCAATTGGCAACACCCTTTTTTTTTAGGCAATTGGGGTTAAGTGACTTGCCGGGGGGTCACACAGCTAGTAAGTGTCAAGTGTTTGGTCTGAGGCTGGATTTGAACTCAGGTCGTCCTGACTTCAGGGCCAGTGCTCTATCCACTGTGCCACCTACCTGCCCCTCAATACTTTTTTTTTTAAAGAATCTATTATGTGTCCTTACATGTGTCCCTAGGTCCTTACAAATGGACAACTAGATTGCTTTTACTAGATTTTTTTTAATTTTAAAATTTTATTGCTATCTCTGTTTTCATCAAAACATGAAACATTTTGAGGAACTTCTAAATAAACATTTCCCATTGGCTCTGCACAGGAATACTAATATATGTACTTTCAAATCATGAAACTGAATTTCTCCTAAAATGTTCTGGCTGTCTGAATGGGCAAGCCAGGGCTTGGGCCAGTCCTGTCAGTATTCTTCTCATAAACTTCTATGGCTTCATTTACCATCTTTATGCAGATGACTACCAATCTATACCTCCAATGTTAACCTTTCTTCTATACTAGAGAACGGATCTTTCATTCTTTCTGTCTCTGTCTCTCTGTC